GGGAAGCCTGCTTCTCCCTCTCCCACTCCCCCTGCTTGTGTTCCCTCTCTGGCTGTGTCTCTGTCAAATAAATAAAATATTTAAAAAAAAAAAAACATTCCTACTGAAAAAGCAACTTTTAAGTCAGTAAATATACCAACTTTTGTGAATTAAAAAAAAAAAAAAATCACCCAAATTCGCATTTGCTTGTGTGTACATGAGGAAATTGCAAGGACAGAAGAGGCACCTACAGATGTGGGTTGTGGTACGCACTGGATGGAGGGGACAGGGATGGAAGGCTTTTCAGCGTATATTTTACATTTTGGAGGTGTGTGAATACATTTACCAAAAACAACAACAAAAAACCCCCAAAAAACCTTAAGTTAAAAAAATTAAAGAAAATCCAGAAACTTCAGAAATTCTTGAACACGTAATTTATCACGTAATATATACAACAGTTACATCGTTTGCCACTTGAAATGCCTCCGAGAACACAAAATCGACTTAGACAAAACCTTCTGTGGAACCTGAGGGCGAGGAGAGCACATATTCTGACAATTTCAAGTTCTCTCCGTGGGCTTCCAGTCTCTCCACAGGATAACTCAGCTGTGACTCCTGATGCCCACCATCAGTTATCTGACAATTTCTCTCATCACCACGGGCTCTATTACCGGCAATATTTCTTCATCAAGTCTCAGTTTCATAAAACTTCTCCTTCACGTTTTGGGGCAGCAATTTTTGAAAGACATTTCCACCACGCAGGGCAAAGAATCTGTTATCAACCGCAAACTCAACGTCAGAGGAGTCACGAGGCTTCGAATCTTTTCTCGCTCTTTCCTGACGCTTTTTTCATGATAAACTTCCCTCCCCCCCCCCCAACTATGGCCTCATCTCATATACAATGACTTTTCAAAACGCGACAGGACCGGTGTTTAAGTCTCGCTCTCCTCGAGGCAGTTCCATCACCAGACTATTCCCTACTGATGAACTTATCACAACCAAGTTCTTCTATCAGAGGATTGATAACCTCAGATGCGGTGAGAGCTATAGTAAATGTCAAAATGTCAAAATCCATCCTCTGGGGATTCCGCTGATACTCGGCATCGAACGCGGCTTCCCGGGCTCGGCAGGCTTCCACGAACCTCCTGCGGCGTTCTTCCAGCTCCTGGATTCTGCCCGGAGCGATCGGGTAGTGTTCCAGGTAGTGGCGGAGGAACTGCTGGTAATTAATTCCTAAAACACTAAGTGGGTGACGGAGGCGGAGGTACGGCAACGCAGCCAGGCCCGGGCCGTTCGCCGGCCGGGACCGGGGTCTGGCCTGCGCGCCCTCTTCCTCCGCCGGCC